AAGAAAACATTGGTTTTTGTAACACTTTTCTTTGCTATTTTAAGACTATACTTGCCGATTTATTGCTACATTAATTTTAATGAACTAATTGTTTTCTTCTGATGAAAAAAAGAATTGTATGAATAAAAACTAACGGTACAATTAGCGATATCGTAGAACCGATAGCAGAATATTCCTGAATTTTGATACGCCATTCTGATTTCAATCATTCAGTGATAAAATATCGATCAGCTGAAAATGGTCATTATAAGACAGTTTATTAGAGCTCTGATACGAAAATGCAGGAAAATTACAGCTTCTACAGCATTCTTCCTAACAACTGTTATTATTTCCACAATACTGGTCGGCAGTGCAATGCATTTTCGGACCATCAATGTTTGGCAACTAAAAAATATTGGTGATTCAATTTTAGTTAAACGTATTGGACGACGACCGATCATTTTAGGTGCCTTTCATCGACTCAAAAAAGAACAGAATGTTGCCGGTGATTTTGTGGTAAAAAAATTTTTCTTTTTTCATTCCCGACTTATATTATTACTGGTCAGTATTTTCATAGAACCACAGTCTTACGATGTCGGTATTTGCCTAGCAGTCAATCTACACTTATCCTGTTTTTGTTATTATTGTCGATGTTTACTGGTGGTATTGCTGTTGTTGTCGAAATTATATATGATCAAATTTTTTTTCTGTCGTTTTCAGAGCACAAAAATTGGTTTAAAAAAAACTTTTTAAAAAAAGTGCAAAATAAAATTTTTACAGTCTACCAAATTTAATTTTGTTGAATATGTTGATAAGACTGAAAAATAAATTACAATTTTATTGTTGTACTGTAAGGTCTAGTACAATTTCAGCGTAAATTTTTATCTGTTACAATCATCTTATTTCTTGCATTATTTTTACTCTAGTTAGGATAATTTTCTTTGCAATTTTTTGAAATTATTTTCTACATCTATTAATTTAACATATGCAAAGAAACTGGCAGTTCAGTTAAATTTTTTTTCAGTAGTTTTGATATTCTCTTTAGGTATTTCAATTTTTGGGAGATATTCGGAAGCCACATAGTTTGTACTGCTACTCAACGGACTTAAATGGTAAACAGTCGATTACAAGGGCTCATGTTCAACGGATTCATGAAGGAAAAAGGGCAGCAAACGACATATGTACATGGGCTGGACATCTTGCTGAATGTGAGGTTGCTCGAGAAATGCCTGATTCAGTTCGGTAGTCCTTATAACATTTATTAAAGTTTACTGTTGATTCAGTTTTTTAAAAAACTTATTGTTACAATGTTCAAAGGAAAACCCTAAAGAACAAAAAATGATTTTATAAGAAACGTGTAAAAAATTTTTTTGCTATTATTTCAGAAAGAATAACAGCATGAAATAAGAGCTGTTGTAAACAATATTTAGGATAAGCACGAGACCGGATGATCCCAACCCAACAACAGTTAGTATTGAACAACCCCATGTTGAGCAGGAACATCGCCTTGTAGTTTGTATTGCACCATTGTATACGTATACCGGATGGCAAACTTTGTTACTGGGCATCGAAGGATGGCTTGCTCTTGGAGCGACAAAAATTATCATCCCTGTGCAGACAGCTTCTGCAGATGTCATGCGCCTTTTGCAAGCCTATGAAAAATTAGGTAGTTTTGGCGCTTTCTAAATTGGTTGCTTTGTTAATCACCTATTGTCTGCTAAGTGTCTAGAAGATTATCTTTAGGTATTGTTGTCATTCGCCCTTGGCCAATCTGGCCAGTGCTGTCAGATGTTAATCCAAATGGTGTTGTGTTATCACGAGGTAACAACAACTGATTACAAGTTGTTATTGTAATGCTTCTTCAGTAACAAGGGACAATAAGCACAAATTTTTGTGAAAATGATTATAATTTGTAAAAATTGTTTACAGGTATTGAAGAGTCTCACGTTAATTGTTTACACTATGTTAAACCATTCGCAAGACTGGTTGTTTTCACGGACCTTGACGATATGCTTATGCCTAAAGATCTTAGTCAAATCCATCCGACGTCAGCTATAGAAATTTTAGAGGTAATTAACTTAGGTGGTTCTTTAACAACTTAATAGTCCTTGTTTCCACTCTTCTTTCAATTACTCAATTGTAATGTTTTATTTTAGAATCTATTGATAGAACATCCCCAAGCCGGATCATTTTTATTTGAGCACAAAGATGTGCAGTTACTACTGCCAAACGAGGTCAATAAAACAACTCTAGAAGATTTCAGCTTCGATTTTTTACTGAACACGCAAGCAAAGACTGAATGCTCAGTTAGGAGAATAAAAACTCGCGTTGCAGCAGTAGCAAGTAGTTTACAAACCTTCTCTGCATGTTATTAGATCAGCTGGAAAAAATTAGACAAATTAGAAAACTGCACAGAATTCTTCTAATGCGTTTTTTAGGTCGACTCGATAGTATAAATATGCATGAAAGTGGTATTCATCGCTTTGGTGCAGTACAAGTAAGATATGAATCAAGTTTCACTTTGTGTTCCACTTTCCATTTTTAATGTATCAGCGCACTAACTGCTGCAAAAATAATTTAATAAATGGATTTAAATGACTGAGATCTTTCATTCACTTAGGTCCGAGTACCCTGCCGTAAAGCCCATTTCTCCCATTTTCGCCATACGCATAAAAAAATTGCAAGTGCGCTGAAAGTTGACCCTACAAAGCTGTCAAGAGTTTTGAACAGGTAACAGTAGTTTTGTGACCATACTACGGTAGTAAATTATTTCTGTTTTATTCCATTTGTTTTTTTTTT